AGTAAATGTACTTAGTTATTTTCCAAAACTACTGTGTTGTTGGTGTGGACTGTAATATAAAAAGGTGTTTCTGTGAAAAATGACCTGGGAGAACTGGGAGATCCTTTGTCAGGAGCCTTACATATATAAGCTTTAGCTGTACTTTAGTATTTTGTCAGCATTGTACAGTAGCTGAATAAACCTTTGTGAAGTTAGGCCTACATTGCACTACCTGCAGTAATTTTTACAGTGCCTTGCGAAAGTATTCGGCCCCCTTGAACTTTGCGACCTTTTGCCACATTTCAGGCTTCAAACATAAAGATATAAAACTGTAATTTTTTGTGAAGAATCAACAACAAGTGGGACACAATCATGAAGTGGAATGAAATTTATTGGATATTTCAAACTTTTTTAACAAATAAAAAACTGAATAATTGGGCGTGCAAAATTATTCAGCCCCTTTACTTTCAGTGCAGCAAACTCTCTCCAGAAGTTCAGTGAGGATCTCTGAATGATCCAATGTTGACCTAAATGACTAATGATGATAAATAGAATCCACCTGTGTGTAATCAAGTCTCCGTATAAATGCACCTGCACTGTGATAGTCTCAGAGGTCTGTTTAAAGCGCAGAGAGCATCATGAAGAACAAGGAACACACCAGGCAGGTCCGAGATACTGTTGTGGAGAAGTTTAAAGCCGGATTTGGATACAAAAAGATTTCCCAAGCTTTAAACATCCCAAGGAGCACTGTGCAAGCGATAATATTGAAATGGAAGGAGTATCAGACCACTGCAAATCTACCAAGACCTGGCCGTCCCTCTAAACTTTCAGCTCATACAAGGAGCAGACTGATCAGAGATGCAGCCAAGAGGCCCATGATCACTCTGGATGAACTGCAGAGATCTACAGCTGAGGTGGGAGACTCTGTCCATAGGACAACAATCAGTCGTATACTGCACAAATCTGGCCTTTATGGAAGAGTGGCAAGAAGAAAGCCATTTCTTAAAGATATCCATAAAAAGTGTCGTTTAAAGTTTGCCACAAGCCACCTGGGAGACACACCAAACATGTGGAAGAAGGTGCTCTGGTCAGATGAAACCAAAATCGAACTTTTTGGCAACAATGCAAAACGTTATGTTTGGCGTAAAAGCAACACCGCTCATCACCCTGAACACACCATCCCCACTGTCAAACATGGTGGTGGCAGCATCATGGTTTGGGGCTGCTTTTCTTCAGCAGGGGCAGGGAAGATGGTTAAAATTGATGGGAAGATGGATGGAGCCAAATACAGGACCATTCTGGAAGGAAACCTGATGGAGTCTGCAACAGACCTGAGACTGGGACGGAGATTTGTCTTCCAACAAGACAATGATCCAAAACATAAAGCCAAATCTACAATGGAATGGTTCACAAATAAACATATCCAGGTGTTAGAATGGCCAAGTCAAAGTCCAGACCTGAATCCAATCGAGAATCTGTGGAAAGAACTGAAAACTGCTGTTCACAAATGCTCTCCATCCAACCTCACTGAGCTCGAGCTGTTTTGCAAGGAGGCATGGGCAAAAATTTCAGTCTCTCGATGTGCAAAACTGATAGAGACATACCCCAAGCGATTTACAGCTGTAATCGCAGCAAAAGGTGGCGCTACAACGTATTAACTTAAGGGGGTTGAATAATTTTGCACGCCCAATTTTTCAGTTTTTTATTTGTTAAAAAAGTTTGACATATCCAATAAATTTCGTTCCACTTCATGATTGTGTCCCACTTGTTGTTGATTCTTCGCAAAAAATTACAGTTTTATATCTTTATGTTTGAAGCCTGAAATGTGGCAAAAGGTCGCAAAGTTCAAGGGGGCCGAATACTTTCGCAAGGCACTGTAACTGCTTTGCAACAGCTTTTTCAAGGATTTTGGAAATAAATGGGAGATTGGATATTGGTCTATAATTAGCTAGGACACCTGGGTCAAGAGTAGGCTTTTTGAGTAGAGGTTTAATTACTGCAATTACTTATGGTGGCTTCACTTCTGCTACAGCTGTCATGTAGTCTACGTTTTATACAGTCAATGGCCTAAACCTAACTCGAATGGTTCCATAGTGTTTATAACTATTTCCATGACAATGAGGATCCAGTACACTTGCTAGTGGGATGGTCATATGAGTTTTTACCTCTTCAGATTATGTTTGGTTTTCCATGCAGTTTAGCAAAACATGAAATTAGGCCAGAAATTCCTACTCTGCTCTGTTTTTCTATGGTCCAGATGTGCAGGTTAAGCTTAATTTATAGTTGTGCATTAAGGGATTAAGAGCCTAACTATGGAGCTTACTGTAACTGATGTACACCTCCCAAAAATGTGACTGCATGTCAAGGATATGGTGCTTATGGAGATCTCACATGGAGCCCTCAAGAACTGTGATTGTTGCTTCTGACGCCAGTGGAGATTGCTATGAAGGCAAGACAACATGAAGGACATTTTAATAAGCCTCAGAACTTTTCTTCATTCATGAAACATATTGCAAAGCCACTGCACACCTCCTGCTCACTGCTCTCTGTCACAACAAATAAAAGAAAATACACACTGCCATTTCATGTGAATGAACGAATGTTACGAGTATGAATGACAATGAAAATGACAGGAATTGTCATGAATGTTCTAAAAATGCTGATAGCACTGTCAGCTTGGCCTTGTCACCATCCTCTACTTGAAACAAATTTCAAAATTTCTGGTGATGCAGACACTAAAGGGAGGTGATCTATGAGTTTCCAAGCCCCCCTACCTTCTAAAGGATAAGTAAATGGATGGATGGGTCTTTATGCCCACAGCCCTGCAATGACAGTCAGTACATTTAAAATTTTTGTTGTGTAATAAGAATGCCACTTTTACAACTCTACTGTATATTTGAACCTATAGCTTGATGTGCTTTAGACTCAGTTCTATGTCCAGTAACTCAAACAATTACTGTATGTGTACTTTTTTTATTTCAGATGCGATACAGTACATAAACACTACACATAAACATCTTTATAACAAAATGTGTAAAAAGCATTTCTGTTTTGTGTTTGTGCTGTAGGTTTGTATCTGCCATGAGAAGCCCGACTCAGCTGTCTCCAGTGTCCCAGATCTCTCCTGAAACTCCAGGGTCTCCTCCATCAGAACTGTCAGCCCCACTCTCCAGCCTGGCCATCTCTGTCCCCTCAGTGGCTTTAAGTCTCTCTGGTGAGGAGGAGCGCCCTCTGCTGTTGTCAAATGGACATCCACCACACAAGCCCTTGAGCCGGGATGAACAGAAGAGGAACTCTGCCCACTACAACCACGGTCATATGGCACATAGCTTACCACCTAGCCCACTGTTTACTATGGAGAATGTTAACTACCAAATCATAGGTGATGGTGACACCAAAGCTGCCGGCCACATGTTCTCAGAAGCATCTGAAAAGCTAATTAATACAAACAACATCAATGACCGTAGCAACAAAAAAACAGGAGTCACCAATGGCCATGTGCTGCATAATGTGGATTCTAGTGGTGACAACAAGCTAGTGAGTGAAACACTGGAGCCTCGGAGGGAACACACACCCTTCCTTACCACAGATAATACTACAGCCCTGTTGATCAGGGTTATGGACAGCAGAAGGACTAACCCAGCATCACCAAATGATAGTGTGCAAGTCAAGTAATCTAATTCCACCAACAAACAAGATCCAGTTGCTGTGTAAAGTAAAAAGAAATTGCTGAGAGTCATTTATGTTAAGGGGGAAAGGAGTAATCACTATTAAACCTTTATTTTCTATAAATTATTTGCTGTGTAAAGACTTTCAAAGATAAATGAAAAAAGAAACTTTTATTTTAGTGATGTAGTGAATAAAGAGTTTTATAAATTAAAAAAAAGTACACATGTGTTCATGTCTTGTAGGTAAAGTGCCATACACTAGTATGTAGCATCAATTCACATATTATATTTCAGTGCAGAAACATATCGATGGTGCCTTTGTTTGGTATGCTTAAGGAACTGCAACATGCATACTGGGCCATATATTCATCATCGTAATCTTCCAGTTAACAATCACAAATAACTCGCTGGCCATCTTTAATGTCCTGCAGTTGGAAGTGCCCGCTGACACAACAGTCAACAGCAACACTCTTATGTGTTCAAAGTGCATGCTATGTGCTGTGATGGAACAATGAGAAGCTCCTCTTTAGCCATTTGACCTGACTGGTCAATCATCTGACTGATTGTAGGCTACTGATTATAAGCTGCCTGGCTAAGACTTTTTCCAGACTTCAACTTCTCGACCGATGATTATGAATAAATTATTAGTCAGCTCAAAAGCTAAAACAGCTAAAATCAAATCCAGTCTACTTTGAGAGGGGGAAACTCAATGTTTTAGTCCTCTCTGAACTACAGTATAGACGGCTGTCTAATCTTCAGTGGTATCCTGCTGATTGGCAGATACTGTTAGGTGCCTATAAAGTCCAGTCAGTAAAGTCTGGCTCTTAGTCTGGTACTAATAATGTCATGATCACTTCAGTTTCTTTAGCAGATTTTACTGTATATTGGAATTTGAAGATGGCCATTTCATTGTAAAAGAGGCACTGCATCGGTTAGTATTAAAGTTTAGCATGAAGACCAGCAATTTCCTGTTTCTTCAAGAGGACAGCCCAGTTACAGGATCGCTCCATCACCCGTATACTGCTGATTGAATCTTTAAATGCAATGTGTATATTCAGTGAAAGACTAAACATATGGTTCATTTTGTCTTGTGGGCAGACATCCACATGTTCCTGAGTAATGCATTTTGGAATTAAAGGAATTGTTCAATATATACATGATGGTAAACCACTTGAATTTGTTCATTCTAAGACTGTATGTATACACTTAATTCAAATTTGATCTTATTTTAACTGCTTCTGTTCACATCTGCATTTTGATTGTATGTGATTTTCAAAAAGAAAATACTGTTTTGACTATATATGCTGAACACAAGAACACCGTTAGAAAATACATGTCAGACTGTCACAATTTCTAGACTCTAGACTAAGCTGATTTATGAAAAGTAAATCAAAAATCTGCATTGCTGGGCTCTGTAATCAACCATAGTTTCTTAATGTATGTATGTAGAATCAGCAGTCAGCCTAGCATATGAGTAAATATGATGACACAGATGTGCTGCCCCATAATTAGTGTTTTAATGGTGACCGTACTTCTGTATTTTATATTTACATTAGGATTATTTATTATTTATTGGTAATTCCTGCTAATTGCAAGCAAGGATTACTGTTGCATAGTACACACATATATATTTTAACAAACATAATTTAAAAATGTTAAATATAAATGGCCATCTGTTCCATGTGGTTATTAGAACTAAATAGAAAATAATTACTTGTATATTTTGTCACTTGTATGCTAAACATAACTCAGAATGCATTGCTTTTGAGTCTAAGAGTGTCTTTAAATGATGTAAATACACCATGACAACCTTCAGCGCTGTTGTTTCTTATTAAATATTAAATCAGTTCTGTGTTTTATGCCTCACAGCATCACAATATTTGTTTAAATGCATTCTTTCATCTCTATGCCTTGCCACTGATGAATACAGTGAACATTAATTTTGTGCTGTAATGACATGAAAGTTTCATATATGATTATATATGTAAACATTTGCAAAACTGAGAATTGTAGTTTTTAACCTATTATTAGTAACAATGTAAGAAACCATAATAACATAAATGATTAACACATTTTGAAAGAAAGCAGTATTGTACAGTTCTACAGTCCTTAATGAGGGTGAAACTGGGAGACCAAAAACACATTAAGTAACAGGTGAGTAACAGGTAAATTATCTTGTACTGATTTAGAGGATGCAGGTAAGTATACTCAAACACAGTGGTACTAGGCAAAGTGTTTGCACAGTACCAACTCAGGTAAGAGCCATCAGGCCTTTCAACGAAAAGGAAACTAATATGGGATCACGCAGAGATAGAGTCGGTGCCTAAGGAATTTCAGACAGCAGAAACTCAGTTGATAGGAAAATACTTAATACTAAATTAAGTTATATCCTGTTGTGCTCAACACACAGTATGTGTGATATTCTCAGAGACTCTTGAACATTTATTCCCTGAAGAAGAATACTGTTTTCATTAATATGTAAAAAAGACAAAAGTACAAAAAAAGTAGCCCACTGGTAAAGTCTGCTATAGCCATTCTGCTGTTCTCTGCTACCAGCCAAGAAAAGAGAAGCTGTCATATATAGCCTTGTTATACTTGTCTTTAAAATAAAATGTAAACTTTTATGCCTTCAATTGGGTGTTAGTTTTCCCTGTGGTATAGAAAATAATAATGAATATCAATATTTTTCAAGGAATTGTATCGAAGTTAGAAAGTATTGTGACAATGCTACAGTATGTACAGTATGTATGTGAAAGTGAGATATTCAATTTTTGCTTCACTGTTTAATTCCAGCTAATCCAAAAATGGGCGACCTGTGACGGGACCCTCCTTCCCTCAAAACAGCCTTAACAGTTCTGCATTGGCTTCATTTCTCAGCCTTGGAGGTTGCTGCTTGGTTAAAAACAGTTATAAACTGTCTTTATGCACTGTTTGTAAATGCTGTGTTACTGACAATTAATTTTGAATTGAATTCAGCTGGACAGGGATGCCCATTTGAATTTAAAATTTATGTTTCAATGTCTGTGGTGTACATATAATATTTTATATGTATTTTAGTCCAAAATGCCCATAGGGGATCATTGATGGAGAATTATTTCCATGCATTCTTCACTTTTGCTGACATAACTTGTATTATGAAAGGAGACATTTATTATATTTTTCCATTTTATTTTGAAGGTCTTAACTTTTGAAGTGCCAGCTTGTAATCCTGCAAGACTTCCACTACTAGCCGACATTCCAGGACAGCCTATCCTCTTTCTATACCTCTCTCACTGTGCAGCGTCACCTGAGAGTCTCCACCACTGAATCTCTGCCCTTACAATGATGACTGATTTCAATCTCCTTTTTTTCATTTTCGTTGCCGTCGAGGCCACTCTCTCTCTGGAATATTGCCCAACCCATTGCCAGTGTGACTGGGACATCCATACTGTGTCATGTTTTGGAGCAGAGACCATGCCAGTTTTCCATTCCAGCACACAGCAAGTGTAAGTAACCACATTCTTTCAACTCTGATCTTTAGTAATAAGACCATAAAGTCCCAAGACTGTTTATTTCTGTTTCAGGTGGCTTGTGGGGACAAAACTTTCTTCTATTCCTCAGAATGCCTTCACAAACTTGGCAAATATTTCTCACATGTAAGATTCTCTATTTTTCAAACACTAACCTCTTTCTTTCAAACCAGCATAATTGGCAAGAATGGGAAGTATCACTCACTAAGAAAAATAAACAACATTAAAACTAATAAAAACCAGCAGAGGAACCGTTCAAAGCCAAGAGCCTCCACCAAGACTGTGAAAAAAAATTCCAAGTTACTCTTTAACCTCTAGAGTCCCTGCGTCCTCATATGAGGACCGCACAGCTTGGGTTTCCAAAGCTCAGGACTCTAGAGGTTAACAACAACCCCAAAACCCTAACCCTAGGGACAAAGATTTAAAGTAAAGCTGATAAGGTAATGTTGTGGTGTAGAATCTCTTACAACTGAACACATACAGCTAAATAGCAATCATCATCTAGCAATCAAAGATAGAAAGGCTGGCCTCAACGCTGCTGCTTGTGACACTATGACATTTGTTGTATTGCAAACAAATGTATATGATCGTGATCTTCTTCTTGCCATTTTATGTCAGTTGTCAAACAAGGAAATGATGTGTTGCTGCCACCAACAGTGGAGACAGAAACTAACATGAAGTTCAATTTTGCTTAGTGGAGGGAAGTGTTGATCCCTCATACATCTTTATATACAGTCTGTGTGCTTGCTGGGCAACTTTGGCACAACTAAACCTTAAATATTTGCATATGAACATACTGTATGGCTTTCTTGGTAATTACCCCCAAATGATATCAAAATATTAATTACTGCAGTGTAATAATGTACAGGAGTGACTTCTCTATTTGGTATTTAATGGAGAACACAATGGGCCTTGTGTTCTTATAAACCTCTCACTTTTTTCATTGAAGTTTGCTGTTCCAAGTTAAAATCAGCCAAACACCTCCTGTGCACTGTTACATAGTTATTACATTATATTAGCATAATCCACTTCGCACAATCCAAAATTCTCATACCATTGAAATCTAGAAAACCTCTCAGTACTGTATTATAGTGAATCATTAAATTCTCGTATTCATACTGCTTACAAACTAATGTTTGTACGAGTTGCTTTTGCACGAGGCCCAATTAGTGCAAACCACTGCAAATTCAAAAATAGCAGTAGCCTATAGATTGTGTTTTTGTTGTGCTTTGTTTGTTTGTGTGCTTTTTTCAGATACATCTCTGATGATGATACTTTAAAATATCTTGAGAGGCATTCGTTCTACAACCTGTCCACGGTCATTCACATGTACGTAACCTCTGAGCAGTGCAACTTAACTGTAGTTAAAATGAAGCCTCACATGTAATGTACATCCCAACAGAAATGTACAGTGTCATCTTTGTCTCATATCATGCTGCATCTGTCTTAACCCTAACCCTCTGGCCAACAGTAGCATCAAACTACCCACAATGACATATCATATTGATAAACCTAAGTGAGATGCCTTTCTTCTGTCATGTATTGCTTAACAAAGTACAAACACTTGGACATTTCACAGTTGATGTTCAGAACTTTAAATGTCGTGGTTAAACTTTCAGTAATTAAATTACTGTAAAAGAAAAAGGGGATGACATGTTTGGCAATGTAAAACATATACTTAAAACAATTCTTATAAGTCAATTTTTTGAATTACTGAGTCAGAGATTATGAGATAGTAAAGTGTGTGTGTGTGTGTGTGTGTGTGTGTGTGTATGTGTCTAATAGACAACTAACTGGTATTAAAAGATTGTCATACGTTGACCAAGAGGCATTTAAGGATCTGCCTAATTTAAAGTACCTGTAAGTAAAATGACTTATTTATTGTCTTAGATTATTTTAGTATATTTTCAGAAGAAAACAATGTAAAAGCTCTGTAAATAGTAATAACAACATTTCTGATGCAATTCCGTTCCTAGTTCAAGCATTAACTGGTTACTGATTTGTTTCAATGCAGTGGGATCACCAACACAGGACTAACCTCGTTTCCTGTGCTACAATATATTCAGTCCAGCCAAGAGGATTTTATTTTGTATGTAGTATTTAAATATATCTAATTGCAATGTTTATTTAAATGTATGAATTTTGAACTGGTGTGTAAAATATTTCACACTCTTACCTTTTTTAACAGGGAAATAGTGGAGAATGCCTTCATACATGTCATATCTGCTAATTCTTTCACTGGAATATCTGAGAATGCTCTGACCCTGTAAGTTGGATTTAGCTGAGCAGTGGTTCAAATGTCATTTTCAGACTCATTGTGGATCAGCAGATCCTGAATATTACTTGGATCCAGATCATTCTTTGGTGTGTGGTAAATTGTATACTGTGCAATTTTTGTCCAAGCATTATAAGCATTATGTATAGGGTTAGAAGCAAAAATATTGAAATTGGCCCTATCTCACAGTGGTGAAGAATCCTTAAAAAAAACTTCTGGATCTGGATGATGATCCAAATCAGCACCAAAAGGCCCACACCCTAACACTCCAAAACATTTAATCAAATTCCATTCATTCGTTTTTGAGTTATGCTGTGAACAAACCACATTAATATAATTGTCATAAAATATCTGAACAAGAAAGATCAATTTCCCGTGGGGCCATTTCACCTACTGTAGGTCAAAAATATGTCCAGTAGTGGTCCTGTAGATAGCATATCGCAATAAGTGTCCTGCAAGATATAAAAACACACTAATATGCTGACATGCCCAGTTTGGAAAATGTAGCGTTTTAGGGAGATTCCAGTTCATTCCATGGAATTGCCCTAATCAGAAGATCTGCTCAGGCAAAGCAGGAATAACAGGCCTGCTTTGACTGCACTAGCTGGAATAACTTTGAATCTGACTGCTTCTACAGACCTGTCTGACCTCACTGACACAGTGACATCAAATATCTGGATTTATGAAGACATGCATGTGCCCACCAAACATCTCTCTATATACAACAACAATTCCTTTAAGCTAAGTGCCCCCTCCCCTTTTTTTTCTACATGCACTTATAACCTGTGCAGAAATTTAGAGACCCTCAGTGCTTAGATACACTGGCTCAGCTATGACTGAACAAATGGCATCGGGGAACAGTCAATTGTGAATGGTTGTGGCAGACTGTCACTTAAATTAGTAGGAATGTTAAGATGGCCTTCAGGCATTCCAGTGTATCACTGGATTAATTAGACACTGGGAAAATGAGGAAAATATTTATTTAATGGTCAGGAGACTGTAAATGCTCTAAGAGTATTTGTAGTCCAAAATGTGCTTTGAGTTCACAAAGCATGCCCCACAATGTCACATATAGACATGAAACAGATTTTTCTTTTCTTCAAATAAAACTATTGTAGTGAATGGAAGGTTCACAGGATATTGTCCCCCACCCCCTTCCTTTTTTTTTTTTTAGCATGCTGAATAGCAATGGCGTGAAAGAGATCCAGCGCTATGCCTTCAATGGAAGCAGACTGGAGGAAGTGTATGCAATTTTGAATTACTGCAGTGAAACAACAACAAGTGATAGCACACTAAATGGAGTTAACTAGTAATTTAGTTATGTACAACCAATGTGTTTTTATTTGATCTATTTTTAATGTGTTTGGGTCTTAATAACCTGACTGACTGGCAAGTTGAATTTACTGTTGTCTTATCCAAAATAATGTTTTGGAGAAGTAATAAAGTTATTTGGAGTTTTGTATATGTTAACAGAAAAGGAATATCAGTCATAAAAAAAAAGCATACATTTTGACCACATTAATTTGCCCTTCATTGATTCTTCATCCTTCAGGTATCTTCACAGGAATGTGGATTTGGAACACATAGATGAATTTGCATTTTATGGAGTGATTCACGGTCCAACTCACTTGTGAGTGCCTGAAATGTACAGAATCTGCTAGAAATGGAATTGAGAAATTAGAAAAATAACTTTACTTTGTGATTCCTTACATTAAAAATAAATATGTTCTAACTACAGCACATCTTAAGGCTGGATACAGAGCCAGTCTTAGTATTGTGTCCAGCTAAATGAATTGTCACTCTTTGTCTGTCTTTCCAGAGACCTTTCAGAAACTAAAGTTGGCTCTTTGCCTTCAATTGGTATGGAGACCATTGAAAAGCTCCAAGCTAAAAACACTTGGGCCCTCAAAACACTGCCCCCCTTAAGAGCCTTTCTCCACTTACAGGTTGCTGAATTGACCTTCCCAAGCCATTGCTGTGGTCTAAAAATGTTGAAAAGATGGAGAGGGTAAGTAAGAGAATAAAAAGTGTTGAATAATAGTTTACCACTCTGTTTGTTTTGTTCCTCATGAATGTATGTGTCCTTTTGAGACCAAATTACCCTCAGGCCCACTGTATAGTGTATGTATTGTGTACTCGCAAAAGCTGGACAAGTCTAGAGTGATTTCAGTGAAATGAAAACAAAGTTCATTTTTCATTGTTGTAGTGATTCTACATTTAAACATTTGACCAGCAGTGCAGAGACATTAGCTTCTAAAAGGTTTTGAGGGAGACTGACCTCTCGAACCATTAAGAGATTTTCAATTATTTCTGCTTGATCAGTAAGTTTTGTTGCATTCTCATTTATGACAAATAGCTGAAGAGCTGGGCAGAGTGTGGTGGCACATAGCAGATCGTAGTAGAGTGTATTGAGGCAGTGCTGGGTGGAGACGAGTGGGCTGATTTGGAGTTTCATTCTAGTGCTCCCTTAAGTTACATACTATAGCCTAATGTTGCTGCAACTGTCTATTTATTGGTATAATTGTTTAATCCTTTTACACTGAAATTCTCAAACGCATTGGCATTTGTGATGTGAAAGAATGTAATATTTCAACATTTGCATGCATATAAAAAACACTATAGTTCATTCTGTGATCATTAATCCTTATCTCTGTTCAAGACAATCTGAGGCAGTTATTTGCAACTTGACCCGGACTGCTTTGGAAAAGCTGCAGGAATCCTCTGTAGCTCTCTCTCAGAGATATCTGGGACACAGAAGCTACCAGCATCTGAAGGACAGCCTTGGTGTCCCAACTACCGACACTACAAATCACAATGGCTACTCCAGCACCCCTAGATGTCCCACTGAACAGTCTCAAATCGAGGGTTTGTTTTATGTGGAGCTGCCTACAGAGCACGTCAGTGACAGTTTTGAGTTTGCACTGTGTAATGAACTTCACACAGATAGTCACAGAGTCTCGTGCACCCCCCTGCCTGGTGCCCTGAAACCCTGTGAGGATGTGATGAGTCGAGGCTTCCTGAGGGTGCTGGTCTGGGTGGTCAGTCTGTTAGCCATTTCAGCCAACCTCCTGGTGATGCTTATCCTGCTGACCAGCCAGCAGAAGTTGTCCGTTACTCGTTTCCTGATGGGGCACCTGGCGTTTGCAGACTTTTGTATGGGGATGTACTTACTGCTCATTGCATCTGTTGATCTCTACACACGATCCCATTATTATCACTATGCTATTGCCTGGCAAACAGGCAGTGGCTGCAGTCTAGCAGGAACATTATCAGTCTTTGCCAGTGAGCTATCTGTGTATACGTTAACTTTAATCAGCCTTCAGCGCTGGCATGCCATCTTCTTTGCAATGAGACCAGAAAAAAAAATGAGGTTACGCCACGCAGCTGTGCTGATGCTCATCGGCTGGTTGCTGTGTGTGATCCTAGCACTGCTGCCCCTGGTTGGTGTGAGCAGTTACCAGAAAGTTAGCATCTGCCTTCCCATGGACACTGAGACACCTGCTGCTCAAGCCTATGTGGTATCTATCCTGATGGTTAATGTCATTGCTTTTATAATGGTATGCTTATGTTACCTCCACATCTACTGTGTGGTGCACAATCCCCAGCACCAGTCCAGCAGATGTGATACCAGCATGGCCAAACGCATGGCGGTTCTCATTTTCACCAACTTTTTGTGTCTGGTTCCCATTTGCTTCTATGGACTGTCTGCAGCTCTTCACCAACCGCTGATGACTGTCACAGATTCCAAGGTGTGACTTCCACTTGAGCTTTAATCTAGAATTGTGTGTGCGCGTGTAAAATAAAGGCTAATTCATGTTTTTCCTCCACAGGTGCTACTGGTGCTTTTCTATCCTATCAACTCTTGTGCACACCCATTTTTTTATGCAATCCTGACCAAGGCGTTTCACCAAGACATCCTAATGTTGCTGAGCCGGATGGGGGTGTGCCAGCGGCAAGCACACCTCTATCGAACCCAGCTTGTCAGTATTACTCCCTACATATACAGAGAGGCAATGTCTGCCCCACACTCCAGCACCCAAATCCCAAAAGGTTCAAGTACAGGAATCACCAGCCTACAAGATGCACCACAGTTGCTTTTGAAATTTGATTAATTTTCCATGTACTAGTAGATTTAAGCAATAATAGTTGTCTCTATATACAGTGGGTACGGAAAGTATTCAAACCCCCTTAAATTTTTCACTCTTTGTTATATTGCAGCCATATGCTAAAATCATTTAAGTTCATTTTTTTTCCTCATTAATGTACACACAGCACCCCATATTGACAGAAAAACACAGAATTTGACATTTTTGCTGATTTATTAAAAAAGAAAAACTGAAATATCACATGGTCATAAGTATTCAGACCCTTTGCTC